TCAAGAAACCATAAGAGATCTACATAAATGGAAGAACATCCTATGCTTGGGGATAGGAAGATTGAACATTGTGAAAATGTCAGTTCTACCCAAAGAAATCTATACATTCAATGCAATCCCAATCCAGATCCCATCAACATTCTTTAGGGATATGGAAAACCCAATCACTAACATTATATAGAAAAGAAAGAGACCTCAGATAAGCAAAGCACTATTGAAGAAGAAAAACAAAGCAGGGAGTCTCAGACTGCTGGATGTCAAAACCTACTATACAGCCACAGTAGTCAAAACTGTCTGGTATTGGTTTAATGACAGATACATAGACCTATGGAATAGAATTTAGAACCCAGAATTAGATCCATCAACCTATAATCAGCTGATCTTTGACAAAGGCCCAAAATCCATTAAATGGGGAAATCAATGTTGTTTAATAAATGGTGCTGGCAAAACTGGAGATCCACTTGCAGAAAAATGAAACAAGACCTGTACCTCACACCATACACAAAAATGAACTCCAGATGGATCAAAGACTTAAATGTGAAACCTAAAACTATACTTTTCCTCAAGGAAAATCTAGGGGCAAATTTAAGAGCTCTAATATATGGCATAAATAGACTATCAAGCATAACTCACAATGCACAAACAGCAGCAGAAGAGAAACCCGATGATTGGGACCTTCTAAAAATTAAATTTTTATGTGCTTCCAAAGACTTCTCCAAAAGAGTCAAAAGAGAACCTACACATTGGGAAAAAGTATTTGGTAATAACATATCTGACAAGGGACTTATCCCTAGAATGTATACAAAACTTCAACACCTCAATAACAAAAAAAACAAACAATCCAATTAAAAAATGGGCAGAAGACATGAATAGACACTTCACCAAGGACAATATTCAAGCAGCCAACAAACATACAGAGAAATGCTCACAATCATTAGCTATTAGAGAGATGCAAATCAAAACAACAATGAGGTACCATCTTGCTCCAACATTAGTAGCAAAGTTCAACAAGACAGAAAATAACAAATGCTGGCGAGGTTTTGGAGAGATTGGGACTCTCATACACTGCTGGTGGGACTATAAAATGGTGCACCATTGTGGAAAGCAGTATGGCGATTCCTTCAAAAGTTGGAATTAGAAATACCATTTGACCCAGCTATTCCATTACTAGGTATATACCCTAAAGAAGTGAAAGCCATGACAAGAAAAGATATATGCACAACCATGTTCATCGCATCACTATTTACAATAGCCAAAAGATAGAAACAACCTAGGTGTCTATCAACTGAAGAATGGATAACCAAAGTATAGTATATACACACAATGGAATACTATGCAACACTAAAGAATAATGTAGAATCTACGAAACACCACATAACGTGGATGAAGTTGGAGGACATTATGCTGAGTGAAATAAGTCAATCACAAAAGGACAAATATTGTATTAGTCCGTTATTGTAAAAGTTAAGGAAAGGGTTATCTATTGGAGGACATTTTCTTTGTTGGTTACCAGGGGTGGGAGGGGAGGGGAGGGAA